ACTTGTGACCACTCAGTGTACAATAGCACAGCAGTATGTCTGAGGACTTACAACACTAGAAACCGGGTTTCGATATCCGTGGTGGGCAAAGTACAGATAGCCCATTGTGTAGTTTTGTAGCAAAAAAATCCTTTATAATTATGTATCACCATCCTTGATGTACATGAATCAAATAAATCAAATATATCACACAGAATTAGGAGTGTCTTATTCCTAAAATCCAATAAGTAGACATATATATACTGGATGTAAAACATCGAAATAACTCGTATCTTTAACACATTACATAAGTTCTTTGGCCTTTTTTTTATCTTTGTATAGCATAAGAACCACAGCCTATATGATTATAGTCATGGTGAACGGTATGTATCAGAACTCTATTTTGACCTCGTTTGGCGTTTTACACGTAGTTTGATGCCACAACCAACTGATCACTTTTAGGAAGGGTATTTAACTGCCCTTACCGAGGCAAAATATTGTACTGGGGATTTAGAATGTACTAAGCTGGAATATCCCTTATACGTAATGACACTGAAAACAAAGGAATATGAATCAACTCGAGGAACAGGACAATACAGAAGGAGATCTGCAACAAGTCGTGACCCATGTGCGCGTCTTGTAACAGGTAAGAATACAAGAACACAAAAGTCAGCAGAAAATGTCCACGTGTCCCATGTAATATAACGGTACATAGTCAAGAAGGACCTCCATCTAGAAACGAAACTAACAGGGTATGGGTTCACCAAAATAAGGCTTCCAGTCGTACCTCAAACAATTGGAGAATAAAACGGCTATTCATGCTATTCTATACGAAAACGTATCGATCAAATCGCTGGACGCAGCACTATGGATTTATTTGCGATTAGTGTTTTGAAATAGGTGCTGTGAAACCGTTATTCTCCTACATTAGATGGATTATGAAAAGCAATCAGGGAGGAGGAGGAGTGTGTTTTCGGTATGGCACCCTTATAACGGAGTCTTTTGTAATAGAAACTAGGCTGAAATATTATTGTGGACGTCAGACAGTGTATGACCGGACATGGCAACGTAGACTATAACGACGTGATGAAGTTACCATATATATATATGTATATATATGAACGACGTGGTGAAGTTACAAAATCGTTGTAATATAATGTACTCCACCCTATATATATGAACGACGTGGTGAAGTTACAAAATCGTTGTAATATAATGTACTCCATATGAGAGCATACTAGTTTGTTACAATTATTTTGGCAGAAAGTTTCCTTACGAAAATAACAGTTGGATGATACAAGCAATGGAAATGAGTTTAACTGAAATACAATTATTAAGTGTAAAAGTTATAGTAGGTTTCCAATTAGAAAAGGACAAAAAATAATGGGTGCATGGAAGGCGTACACGTATAAAACAAATATTGAATGAAAGATTTGTCGGGACGCACAGAGATGCACTAATATAGGAGAAGAGAAAAGTTGGTTGTAATAGCGAGTGGGATTACCTCAGCTTGTCACTCAGTCGTTGAGCTGTGGTATACATCTTACGAGAAAGTTTAGCGGTAGCTGTAAAAAAACAAACAAAAAAAAACTGGTTTTTCGACAAGCCACTACTATCTTTAAAACAAACAAAAAAACTGGTTTTTTCGACAAGCCACTACTATCTTTAAAACAAACAAAAGTGGTAGGTGGTCCTTCTTTCTAGCCCCCCAGTGGCACAGCGGTATGTCTGCGGACTTACAACGCTAGAAACCGGGTTTCGATACCCATGGTGGGCAGAGCACAGATAGCCCTTGTGTAGCTTTGTGCTTAATTAAAAACAAACAAAAAAAACAAATCTTCTTTCTAACTAGAAGATATCGGTCTTCTTTTCGACTTGGCGAGAAAAGTGCAGCCGTCAGCTAATTTAATCTCTAGTTTTGCCAGTTCAGTAACTACATTTTTTTTTAATATCGAATAGCAAAAATAGAGGTGTTTTATCACAAAAAATAAATAAACACAAATATCCTTAGAAACTTTCTATAAACAAAACAGTATTTCCTGGCTCACAAAGAACTCTACTCAGCCATTGGCGTAATTTAGCCGATGGACCGAGAGGACATAGCCTCTCACATTTTCAACGACGGGAAAATGTTCCCCCCCTTAAACTGCAATAGTATTAATATTTTTATTTCTCACTAACTTATGCTTATGCCCCGTTTACAGAAATTGTTCTCCCACATTGAAATCAAAGTTAAGCCACTGTGGTCAGCACTGGTTTCAAATTTCATTCTGTCGTTCGTTTAGAACCATTTTATCATAATAAAGCATGATAATGTCTTGCGCTAGACAACTGTTTCTTGTTTGAGAGGTTCCATTTTAACCACAAGTTTGTGTATTGTAGTTAGTTACTGTTCTTATAGTAAGGTTGTCACAATCCGATCAGATATCAATCGTTATTATGGTTAGTAGCCTATATGTTCATCATGAAACACAAAGGTCACGCAAAAGCAGTCCACATCCCCCAGGCAACATAATCAAGAAGGATCGCAGTCTAGAAAAACGACATAAGTCTCGGGTACACAAGTTGTTTCCATGACATATCCGTTCAATCGTCGCATTTTTCAAACAGCTGTAGAATGAAACGGGTAATCTTGCTATTCCATACAAGGGCATTCTCTTCAAGTCGGACATTTGTGGGATCGGACTGTTAAAAATGGCGCTGTAAAACCGTCATCCTCATATGCTAGATGGGTTATGAAAGGTATGGAGGTGAGGAGTGGTGTGCTTTGGACATGACACCTTTTAAATGGAAACTACGCAGCAGAGAAATATGGACGAACGTGGTGACATGGAATGTAACGACTTGATGTAAAATAATTTTACTATACAGTACCCAACTCTGTATTTCGCTTCTTTACTTTCGTTTGTTTGGTTAGATTTGAATTTTGCGCAAAGATACACGAGGGCTATCTGCGCTATCACCACCCACCGCCAACTCTTGGGCTACTCCTTTCCAACAAATAGTGGGATTGATTGTCACATTATAACTCTCCCACGACTGAAAGGGCGAATATGTTTGGTGTGATGGGGATTCGAACCCACGACCCTCAGATTGCCAGTCAAGCGCCCTAACCACCTGGCCATGCTGGGCCTTAGAAAATTAGGGAAACGACAAATATCTAATGTCTTACAATTACAAGTTGGATTAATCGTTGCTATAGTGTACCTGATCATTATTTTCTCACTTTCGTTCTCTTTTAATGATTTATTTTCGTGTTTTTGAACTGTTTGTTTACACAGTAATGTTTTCATTTACAAAGTCTCGTTATTCTTTAAAAAAAAGTCAATGTTCTGAACATCGAAAACATCCCAAGTACTTTTATGACTTTATATCCATTAAAATCAGACAACAATCATATGACTTATATAACTTTGTTCTTTAGTTTCTTTTTGCACTGATTAGTCGTCAAGTACGTTCTGGAAGATTAATCGAAACAACCTGAAAAACTTACTTAACTTATATGAGTCTACTCGATGCTTCCACAACACTGTATTATGCTAATAAAATTACTATATTTTAGCTCGTGCTTTATATTTGCAAACCTTACGGTTATTTGGTTTTAATTATTCATTATGTTACGAAGAAATTCTATATTAGTAGAATTTATATATCTCATAAAGCCAAGAATTTTCTGTGTATGTCTGAAGTAAAACAAAATATATTTTTTCACTGAACCTTAGTGTGAAATTAATTTTGACACCTAGCACACCCATGTAGTGAAGGTCAAATAACTATTGAAGGAAAAGGAAGATAAGTTTCCCATCAATCAGTGCTTTTAAACAACCAGGAAAAATGATATAGAAAAACAACATTTAACAATTCATTTTTCTTAGGAAGACAGCTTAGGCCAATACAAAGTAATGAATATTAGGGTAAAACATTTCTAGTTTGTTCCTGACGAAGGAAAGTTTACTTTTGTATTTTTGTGTAAAAAAATAAATATGCAACCAACTTATGCGGAAACACTCACTAAAAATGATATATGTATATATATACATATATATATATATATACATAATTGAAGATGCAAATAATAGTTGATTTCTAGTTTGAAAGAAAAATATTAATGGTTTTCGTAGAAACACATCACCCGAGATGTAAGTGGTCTTTAATCTCTGGTTTGAGCTTAAAATGTGAAATGCGAAAGTAAAATTACTGTAAGTAAATGCCCGATATACTTACTGTTTGTTTATATTAAAATTTTCGATGTATTTACTGTTTCTTTACAATAACATGCTCGATGTACTTACTGTGTATTTACACTAAAACGCTCGATGTATTTGCTGTTTATTTACCCCAGAATGTTTTGCTGTTTACTGCATAGTATTTATATTTAACGGTCGTCCCTTGATTTACAGAATGGTTACAGAAACATTAGTACCTATTGGTATGCTACGAATTTGTGTAAAAATTCATTCTTACTTATTGCGATTAATACCATTACGCGATTTCGATTATTTGCTTGTTAATCTATGCAAAAGTAAAAATTCATTTTGTAAAATAATAGATTTGATATCATGCTGTTTATCAAGAAATATTGAAAGTTATGTTTAATTACTAGGATTGCAATTGTGTGGAACGGTAGATATTAAACTATGAATAACTTGGGTAGTAGTTGTGTGGGACAGTAGATATTAAACTATGAATAACTTGGGTAGTAGTTGTGTGGAACAGTAGATATTAAACTATGAATAACTTGGATAGTAGTTGTGTGGAACAGTAGATATTAAACTATGAATAACTTGGGTAGTAGTTGTGTGGAACAGTAGTTATTACACTATTAATAACTTTGGTAATAGTTATGTGCAACATTAGTTATTACACTATTAATATCTTTGATTGTATGTATGTGGAACAGTAGTTATTATGTTCAGGGCAGGCCCTTGGGGTGAGAGACGTGTGCTTCCACTCATCTCAAGGGGCGCCAATATCGACTTGAAATTAACATTTTTTGTAAATTTTACAGAGACAGGGGGCCGAATACAAAGTTCGCCCAGGCCACAGTTTCGCCTAGGACTGACTCTGGTTACGCTATTAACAACTTTAATTGCAATTGTATGGCACAGTAATTATGATATTAATAACTTTGATTGTAGTTATGTGGAATAGTAGTTATTACACAATTAACATGAACAATAACAATCCAAAAAAACAAGTTTTCTTTCTTTAAAGCAATTATTGTACTTCTGTCTCTGTTAGTTTCCCGTTTGATGGGCTCACCTCCAGGGATGCCTATGTCGAACATGAACATGTCGACATTCAGTACCTGCAGCGTGGCCACAGCAGCTGAAACCAAGGCTGTCCAGTTTCCTCTGTCACAGCGACGTAAGCGGCGGGTGTTGTTTACTCAGGCCCAGGTGTATGAACTGGAACGTCGTTTCAAGCAGCAGAAATACCTCTCTGCTCCGGAGAGAGAACACTTGGCCAACTTGATCCATCTAACCCCTACTCAGGTTAAAATTTGGTTTCAGAATCATCGCTACAAGTGTAAGAGGCAGGCTAAAGAGAAGGCTATGACCGAGGAGCAAACTCAACAGTCACAGCAACATTCCGTAAGAAAAGTCGCCGTGCCCGTGTTAGTCAAGGACGGCAAACCCTTTTCGACCAGCTCGGGACACCACGAAAGTATCACACCAGTTAGTGGCAGAACTAACAGTGGCATGAGAACAGCATATTTACATTTGTCCGATCCACATCAAATTCAGACTATTCTTGAAGATCCTCCAGATCTGGTCGAGCCGTGTGCACAAAACGCTGTAATTAGCCGTTCTCACTCTTTCTCACAATCTGCAGGGGCCTGCGGTCAACACCTTGGTCCCCACAACAAGTTAGATCTCGGTTCTGGATTGACTATGTCAAACAGTAACGTCTGTCCGGCCTACCTTCAGATTCAAGGTAGAACGTGGTAAGCACAGTCAACATTACTGACTAATCCATTGTGGTTCTATATTCGTTATAAGAAGAGCCAGGACTGTCGCAGATATATATGTAAAAGAGGCTGTAAACATCAAATGTTTATCATAATAGTTTTAAATTAGCTCTGAACCTACGGAGCAGCAAGGAGAGTTTACGATATTTATCCATATAAGTAAGGAGCAGGAGGTGCTGTTATATAACATTTGTTCCTGAGTTTAAGGTGTATGTAGGAGTGATTTACAATATTTATCTCTGAATGTAAGGAGCAGAAGGGTTACGCCACAGTTTTGGTGGATAAGATACTGAACTAACAGACCAGTAGTTGTAGTGACAGCAGTAGTTATGAAAATCTGTAATGTAAAGGTAAAAGAGTGTGATATAGGGAACAAATGTATTTTGTGCATTTTTGATAACTATTTCCAGTTTACGTGAAATTTATTTTAGATGTACGTTTCCTGTGCTGTATACATATCTGAACATAAATTATGAATTGGTGTACATAAAGTGTCTGTGTATTCAATATGCGATGTGATGGTTGGTTTGTTTGTTTTGTTCCAAATTTTATACAGTATTAACATAAAACTTACTGTCACAAGATATCTTAATATTACAAATACTAGATATATAGACGTGACATCTTATACAGTATTAACATAAAAAGCCCTGCATGGCCAGGTGGTTAGGGCGCTCGACTCGCAATCTGCGGGTCGCGGTTCGATTCCCCGTCCCACCAAACATGCTCACCCTTTCAGTTGTGGGGGTGTTATAATGTGATGGTCAATCCCATTATTCGTTGGTAAAAGAGTAGCCCAAGAGTTGGCGGTGGGGGGTGATGACTAGCTGTCTTCCCTCTAGTCTTACACTGTTAAATTAAGGACGGCTAGCGCAGATAGCCCTCGTGTAGCTTTTCGCGAAATTCATAACAAACAATTAACATACAAACTTACTGTCACAAGAGATCTCAGTATCACACATACCAGACATGTAGACGTGACATCTTATACAGTATTAACATAAAACTTACTGTCACGAGAGATCTCAGTATCACGCATACTAGATATATAGACATGACATATTTTACAGTATTAACATAAAACTTGCTTTCACGAGAGATCTCAGTATCATGCATACTAGATATATAGATGTGATATCTTTTACAGTATTAACATAAAACTTACTGTCATGAGATAGCTCAGTATCACATATACTAGATATATAGACATGACATCTTATACAGTATTAACATAAAACTTACTGTCACGAGAGATCTCAGTATCACACACACATACCAGACATGTAGACGTGACATTTTAGGTTCTAGTACAGAGTAACGACTGCTTATAAAAAAGAATATGCTCACTGCAGCTTATATACTCTTTTGCAGAAATATGACTTAGATTTTTATGCTTTTGCATATATATAGGCCTATTTCAAAATGTTATCAAAAAGTTATGAGAAATAATAACAGCTCGTTGTACAGTGTTTATCATGCTGAATATTTTACTCTCGGCCGTTTAAGGTTAATTCTGTTGACATTTGAAAATTACTTAATAATAAGCAAGCTACACACTAATTACACTAGTTTTAATGATATCATACATATATGTATATCCGAAATATACATCTATGTCAATCACTTACATTCTAATCTGAAGATTCACTTATTTCAAAAAGATACCTAATAATCTGACGTGAATAAATAACGACTGGAAAATTACATCTCGTAAATGTAGAAGATGATTTAATACTATGTTGAAAGATGACTTAGCATACTGTAGTAATTATAAAACAGTTGGAAGATTGCATCTCGTAGACGTCTAAGATTATTTAATATTGTATTGAAAGGTGTTACTTAACAATCGGAAGTAATTATATAAAAGTTGGAAGGTTGCATCTCGTAGACGTCTACGATTTCATACTGTTTAAAAGATGGTTCTTCACGTGATGATATGAATACTTATTTCCTTAAGTTTGGAATCACAACTTTATTATCCTTAAATCTGAATCTGATTTAATACTGTATGGAAAGGTGATATTTAGCAATCTGAAGTTAATATGTAACAGTTGAAATATTTCACTACGTAGACGTCTAAGATGATTTATTACTGTATTGAAAGGTGATACCTAGCAATTGGAAGTATTATATAACAGTTGAAATGTTGCACTTCATAGACGTCTAAGATGATTTAACACTGTATTGATACATAGCAATCGGAAGTGATTACGTAACAGTTGAAATATTGCATCTCGTAGACGTCTATGATGATTTAACATTGTATTGAAAGAATGATGCTTCACGTGGTGATCTGAATACTTATTTCCTTAAGTTTGAAATTACAACTTTATTATCCTTAAATCTGAATCTGAAGTAACTAATAATAGAATATAAATATTAAAGTACCAGATAACCATGGAACCCTTGGAATAGGAGATATATACGTAACATAGTCCAGTTTTACTATGCGAAATATAAACTTAATATGATAAGTGTGTCGTAATTTGGGATATATATATATATATATATGATATAATTCTTTGCAAAATAAATGCTTACGCATACGAACTGATTCTTTACAATACGAAACATCCACAAAACATGAAACGACTCTCTATTGTATAAGATTATACCATTCGTTATTTCAAATTCTAATATGAATACATACCAAATCACTTTTACTGGCTAACGCTAGGGTGTGGCGATTTCATGGTATATAATGTAATACGTCACCTTTTCAAGTAATCACTCAGTTCTCTGTGATTAAACTGTACTGAAGAATAAGATAATTCTATAGTATATAAGGTAATACGTTAGTGTCTCAAGTCCTCACACAGTGTTCCTTGATTAAAACTGTACTGAAGGATGTGATAATTCTACAGTATATAAGGTAATACGTTGGTGTCTCAAGTACTCACACGGTGTTCCTTTATTAAAACTGTACTGAAGGATGTGATAATTCCACATAAATAAGGTAATACGTTAGAGTGTTTCAAGTACTCACGCAGTGTTCCTTTATTAAAACTGTACTGAAGGATGTAATAATTCTACAGTATATAAGGTAATACGTTAGTGTCTCAAGTACTCACGCAGTGTTCCTTTATTAAAACTGTACTGAAGGATGTGATAATTCTACAGTATATAAGGTAATACGTTAGTCTCTCAAGTACTCACACAGTGTTCCTTGATTAAAACTGTACTGAAGGATGTGACAATTCTACAGTATATAAGGTAATACGTTAGTCTCTCAAGTACTCACACAGTGTTCCTTTATTAAAACTGTACTGAAGGATGTGATAATTCTACAGTATATAAGGTAATACGTTAGTCTCTCAAGTACTCACGCAGTGTTCCTTTATTAAAACTGTACTGAAGGATGTGATAATTCTACAGTATATAA